GTTTCTACACGCTTGATAGATCTTTTATTGTCAAAGAGCTTGCTGTTATCTCGCTAAGTGATGAAGAGGATTTTTTGAATTCTACTGCGCTGGCAACTTTTGAACCACCTGCTGAGTACACCAATGAATTCATGGTCTTGGAGACCAAAGATTTTTGGTTGAGAAAGCATGGTATTAAATGGAATGAAGGATCATTCTTCTATACCGAACTCGAAGAAGTGCTGCGAGGGACTCTCAAGCACAAAACATACGTTTATGTTTTGGGTGAGGAAAAAAAACGTTGGCTTGAAAAAGTAATTAATTTTTCATCTGAAATAATTGATCTATCAAAGATGAGATTTATCAACCATCTTGAAGACTTTGATCCTATCCAACCGTGTATCCTGAAGAAAAATCACTCAAGGAAACGCAATTATGCCTGTGCGTATGAAACAGTGCAAAGAATGAAACATTGGTTTCTCAGCTGTTGGGGTTTGAATCCGTCGCTGGAAAAGTCATTACAGCTTTTTTATCAGCTCCAGTCGTTAGTCAAGTTGGATCCACAAGATATTGCCTGTTTGGATGAATCTTTCATACTTCAGTTCACAAAATATGAAATTAATACCATATGGTCAAAGCTCCCTGAGTGTATGAGGATGGATTCAAGATTTATCAATTATACAAGATGTACAGAGCATTATACGACTATGTATTATGATGTTCTTGACAACCCTTATCCATTGAAGAAGGACTGCTATGAATGTAACAATGTTGAATAAATCTTTTTACCAGCTAATGTATCTTAGAATAATTATTTTAATAAGGTTTTATAAATAAACAATCATTAAATTATAAAGTGTTTTTTATTAATTCTCTTTTATTACATTAAGTTTATTAATTAATACAGGTTCAATAATTATATGTAATTTAATTTTATATTCGTTGGTTAAATCGTTTTCTATCTCTTTCTGCTTGTTTCCATGGACCTTGCTTGTCTAGATGCAAAGTCTCACTCATACACGTAGTGTATGGTAGAATTAGGATCAAACTGTACCATTAAGTAAGTTTTCTTAAATTGCTGCTGATGGGATGGTATTCCACTATTCGGTCGTGAATTATTAAACAGTAAGCAGAAGTTTGATTTGGAAACTGTGCTGATGATTCAAACTCCAGACGTATATCCACAGGCCCAGACTGGATTGACTCGTTTTGCTTGGAGCAATCAATGATATACAGAGGAGCTGTCTCAAGAAAATCTTTCTTAGCCAATAGCGGTTCCGCTTCTTTTCCATAGTAAGCACTTTGAAAATTTGTGTACATGTCGTACATCAAGGCATATTGATTATTCGCAATGTTGAGGTTCAAATTTCCATATGGATAACTCTGAGAGTTCAAGACGAGCTTAATATCTCTTATGTTGCAGTGGTCAAACTCGCTTGCATTTTGATTCGGTTGATTCTTTTTTCCTGTTTGAAATCCAAGGATGACAAAACGAGGTTTCTCAAGCTGATTTGTTGTTTTGATTACCCAAATATGCTTGGAGGTAGCTGGTAGCAGTGGATACTCATACAATTCCCAAGTCCGGAAACTGATCGGGATAGCTGGATCAGAGATTATGTAATTCAACACCTCAATTTTTCGCTTGTCAGACATTGTTATATACGGAACAATCCACTCAATTGTCTGGATTGTAATCATTACATTTTCACCTTGAGCGGTAACAATATAAGCATTTTGATCAGTATTTGATCTGATTAATATCAATTCATGCTTGGCATTAACGATAACTCGTTGATAATCTTCAGCAAATCCGAGGATAAAACTCAGAGGTACTGAGATATCGAAGTAACCACTATTATCAGTCAACTTGTTATTATCTTCATTAACAATCCAACCAGCATTTTCCAGAATATTTTGCTGTCCTGGACTCAGAGAAGCATATCCTTTCATAAGAGTAGTAATGCCTACATTCTTACATCTGTCAATTTCTACATCATTGAGCTCATAACGTATCTCTTCAAACATATGACAGACAGCCATGTTGACCATCTTTGTAGTAGCACTTACAGCAGTACCATCTGCTTTTTTCATTCTTCTATAAAAATGTAATGTGCTCTTGCTTGGGAGCAAGCACAGATCTTGATGTTGAATAGCAACCCTGATTTCATCACTGTTGTTGAATGTCGATGATGCGTATGGCATGTGTGAATGTGCTTCACAGTGTGCAATAGACTCATCAAAAATAATTTATTTTTTTATGTCTAAAATTTCCGCCATGATATCAAGCAAGCTAGATAACAAAAATTTATTTTTATACTTCAATGAAAACCTGTGTCCACCAAGAACTCGTATTTCACTGGAGACGTGCACTTCGTTATTTGTAAAGTTCACTCTCGGCGAGCTGCTTATATAGGCAGAAGATACTGCGGTTACCCCACCCCTCTACCTAAAAACTGGTTCGATGACGTCATCTACTGCGCAGTAGGAAAATTTTAGAACAAAATGAGTTATCTACTGCGCAGTTACCCCCACTCCTTTACCTCAAAACCGGTTTGTCGACGTCATCTACTACGCAGTAAGATAATTCTAGAATGTATGAGTCATCTGATTCGTGGAAATTCCCCTCTCCGTTCTCAAAAAACTAGTCTAAACTTGTTTGATGACGTCATGTACTACGCAGTTAGATGTAATAGAAGCTACCACCAGATGGCAGATTTCAGACTCAAAATGGCCAACAGGAGCCACAAGATAGCAGGTAGCAGCTACCAGATAGCAGATAGCAACCACCAGATGGCAGATAGCAGCCACCAGATGGCGGATTTCAGATAGCAAATTCAAAATGGCGGATTCACAACTCAAAATGGCGGATTTCAGACTCAAAATGGCAGATTTCAGACTCAGATAGCAGCCACCAGATGGCGGATTCAATATGGCGGATTTCAGATAGCAGACTTAAAATGGCAGATAGCGACCACCAGATGGCGGATTCACAATTCCAGGAAAATGGCGGATTTAAAAATGGCGGGAATATGGCGGATAGTAAAATTTTAAAATGGCGGCAGAATTCACCACCAGCGCCACCTATTATAATATTACCTAATATTAAAATTAATACTATCTAAATGTGCCTTCGAAGACCTCTTATCTTCTACCACTTCTTTCAGATACATCCACAATTTTTTAGAATCTGATCTATTCTTATCAATATGATCTTCATAATACGTTCTCTTATTATTTCAAAATTCATTACTACATTGGCAAGACTGGGGCTAGCCGGATTGCCCATGCTGGAGCCATCCACCTGTTGGTAAAGATTATCTTGGAAAGTGAAATAGTTGGACCCAAAACAGAACTTTATTAATTTAATCAAATTCTCTTTCTTCATCTTAATGACCTTAAACAACATATTTCAATCTTCCTCAATGATATTTAATACCAGCTCTTGTGGTATGTTTGTGAATAGTGACGTTACATCCAAGGAAATCAAAATATGGTCACTCGGCACCACAATCAATTTCAATATGTTCACTAATTCAAATGAATTTTTGACATTCCATTTGATTGTCGACGTCCATGCTGCAAGGATCTGGTGCACGAAATTAGCTAATTTGTAGCTGGGTGCTCCAACGCAACTTACAACAGGTCGTAATGCGAAACCCACCTTGTGCGTTTTCCGGAGACCATATATATATCTTCGGCGCGATCGCGTTATGGGTCTTTAAATATTTCGCATCTGCTTCATCAATTTCCTTTTCAGCTAATAATTCCTTCACAATGTCGTTTGACTAAGTCTGAAACTTACTTGTTGGATCTTTCCTTAACTTCTCATATGTGTTTGTATCACTCAGCATATTATTCATACCGTTTATATATTCCTCTTTAGACATTACAACCGTGAAACCTCCTTTATCTGACCTTGCGACTATCAGTTCATCATGCTCACGTAGAAATCGTTATGATTATTATTATGCTTAATAATATTATTATTTCAAGCCTGGTTGGACCGTAATCGTGGTAGAATGGGACAAAACTCCACTAGTTACGGTGAAACCAGGCCTCAGTTTAAATGAGTTGTCAATACAGCGCCATGTCTGCTTTGACCGTAATATTGAGATGGGAAAAAACTACGGTTAAAACAGGACTCGAATTTCGACTCGGGTGATTTCATTTAAATAAGTTTAGATCGTCTTTTAACATCAATAAATAATAGAAAAGACGTTTAAAAGATAAAACTCTATGATGGTATATTTTTTTTTATTCAATATACAGAAAATTGCTCATATTTAAGTGAAAAAATAATTTTTATTTTAACGATAGGAAAACTTTGCAGAAGAAAAGATTTTTTTGACGATTCGAAATCTTATAAAAACAGATTTGGTGTAAAACGTCGCTTTAAATTGATATTCAAATAAAATTTTATTCAGAACCAAGAAGCTAACATTTTTAGAGACTAATAAAAGATTACTTTTTATTAGAAGAATACAAATTTAAAAATAATTTATGTCTTTAGTGTACTTAAATCTAGCTAATTATCATTGAGGAGTAGAAAATTGTACGATCAAACGAAAATTGGCCGCTCGTTTGATCGAAATTATATGAAGTGTCTCGTTCGAAGATGATAGTTTCATGTAGTCATGCTTGTCATGCTTCAATCCACAACGTTCAACGCTTAAATTCAAAATATTTTGGCGCTTTCCGCCATCTTGTCTCGACATGCGCCCTCTTTACTCATATTGTTTTGTGTGACGAATATTTGAATTATCACGACTTACCTTGAAGATGATAGTGGGAATAGTCTTCTGTAATTTTTAATATTACTTTTGGGTCAGAACAGGGCGGGAGACTATCATCTTCGAACGAGACACTTCATATAATTTCGATCAAACGAACGGCCGCCGTGTCTCGTTCTCGATGATAGTTTCATGTAGTTCTTTAAAGCTCGAGTGATAATTCTTAATTTTTGGACTCTATTTTATTTTTAACCACAATACATTTGTATTATTATTATTTTATTCTTACATCTATTCTAAAATTGCCTTAGCAAACTGATCGTTTATAGCCAATACTGGGCGATTGTAAAACTTAAAGAAGGTCTGAGAGCTTGGAGACCATCCAGCGCAGGACTTTATAACTGATATTTCGACCCCACGCTTATCAGCAGTTGACACTGCAGCGTGTCTCGTGCTGTACGCCGTAAACTTTTCGACATCAACTCCTGCTTTACCTAGTAAAGCCTTGATCCAGTGGCTAATAGTCTGCGATGAGGCCTCTTTAAAAAGTTTTATAGTCGACAGAAACAAATTCTTTGTTTCTTTCTGTCTTCGCTCCTTGGTATAGTCCAGGTAGTCTAAGACTGCCGATGCTACACAGAGACCTGGTTTATTCTTAGAAAATGGCAAAACTAGTTCCGGTTGAAAACCGCCAGGCTTGGTAGTTTTTATTTGATCTGGAATCTTTATTTTTATGCCAGATTTTGATGTCTCAATATTCTCTATATTTATTAGGGCTAAAGTTGGAAGTCTTTGGCCCGTTGTCAGTGCCAGTAAAGTTGCAACTTTTTCTGCTGCATCTTTAATTTTTAAATCCTTCAGAGGATGTTTTTTCTCCATGTACTCAAGAACTGGTGTGACATCCCATGTCGTGCTGTACCTAGGTTTTGTAGGCCTCTGTTTAAAAACCCCTTTCAAAAATCGTGTAATTAAACCATCTTCATTAATATCATAAGCTGATATTAATGCTACTGTAGACCGAGTTGTGTTTAATGTGCTATATTGAGCTCCTTCCTCAAAGACTTCTGACAAAAAACTGATGATGTCTGTCGTTTTAGCATTATACATGTTGATGTTATTGTGGTGTGTATAAATCCACCAGCGCTTCAAGCTGCAATTGTATTGTTTTAAAGTTGACTCCTTTATGGCACCCACCATGACATCCGCTGCTTCTTCTGGAACTCCTTTATTTATGTATGCCGTCCTGATAACTTTCCTGCCACCAATGAAAGGTGGGACGCTAGCGGATGACTCTCCTGTCTGTAAGGAGAATTTAATAATTTAATATCAGGTTTAAAAACTATTGTTGGCTCGATTAATAGTTATGTGAAGAGTGGATACCACGGTTGTGTAGGCCACATTGGTACTACTATTGTGCCTGTAGCCTGGTCATTTATAATCTTTCTCAACGTACGCGTAATAAGCGCAAAAGGTGGGAAAGTATAAAAGTTTCCACCTCGCCATGAAACCGTGAACGCATCAACAGAGCTGGCTTGCGGATCCGGGAATCTCGAATAAAATTTTTTACACTTCCTATTCAATCGAAAAGCAAACAAATCAACTGAAAAAGGACCTGACTGTTTTTCAATTTTTGAGAAAGCATGTCCTGATAGTTCCCATTCGGAATCAAAATTTAGATTGCGTGATGCACTATCGGCTTCAGTGTTCTCTGCAGACGGAATATAAGACGCTTTCAGCCATAAACCTCGTTCTTCGCACCATTTCCAAATCTTTTTTTGATAACATGCTTAGGTGTCGAAATCTAACTCCACCCGCTCTGTTGACGTAAGCAATTGCCGTAGTGTTGTCTAGTCTAAGTAAAATTTCGCAGTTTGACAATTTAGATGCAAAGCATTTAATCGCAAAAAAGGCTGCCAATAATTCAAGATAATTTATATGCTTCTTTCGTTCATTCTCGTCCCAAAAACCGAACGCTTTTACCCCATCACAGTAGTAGCCCCAGCCCATCAAGGAAGAGTCAGAGAAGATCTCCATCGCGTAACTCTGAGTTCTGATCGGATTGGCTCCAATTGCTGCATTTACTTTCCACCAATTTAGATCCTCCGACATGTTCTCATTAATAATTATATTACCTTCATAATTACCACCATTGAATTTTAAAGCCAGATATTTCTGTCTTTCCAATTGCTTGCAGTGTATGAAACCGTACACTACTGCTGGGCAAGCTGATGTTAATATCCCGAGAAATTCTGCGAATTTCCTAATCTTAACCGATCTACCAACCTTAAACTCATTTACTAACTTGACAATAGTTTCTTTCTTTTTATTTGTTAGATTTAAGGAAAATTTCGCTGAATCAATGACAAACCCCAGATATTTACACGTCTGCGAAGCTACAAGTGAACTCTTTTGAAAGTTTATAATGAAACCCAGTTTCTCTAAAAGTCGTATTGACTTTCTCATGTTTTTCTCACAGGTAACTTTCGATTTATTTACAAACAAAAAATCATCCAGGTATAATACTAATAATATCCCCCATGATCGAAGTGTATAAACTACTGGTTTAGTTACTTTAGTAAATACATAAGGACTAGAGCATAGTTCAAAAGGTAGACATAAATATTGATACAACTTCCCCTTAAATCTAAATCTTAAAAATTTTCTGTGCCCTGGATAGATCGGAACTATCAAATATGCATCTTGGAAATCCATACTTCCAAGATAGTCACCTGGAGATATTAGTCCTAGAGCGGACCTAATATCTTCTAAATTAAAATGCGGAGGATCAATGAATTCATTTAATTCTTTTAAATTAAATATAAAACGATTTGTGCCATCGGGCTTCGGAACTAGAAAATACGGAGATATAAATTGATCATCACACTCTTCACATCTTTCAATCGCGCCTTTAATAATTAATTTATCTATTTCTACTTGAATTTTTTCTGTTTCTTCAACAGATAAATTTCTTTCCTTTGGGGAAATTTTTTGCGTCGGTGTTTGTGTCAATGGAATTTTATATCCATTTATATAATCTAAAACAACTTTATCAGTTGTAATCTGTTTCCAATTATTTATAAAATAACGCAAACGACCCGCTATTTTCTTTACCTTTTTTATTTCTTCAACGATGACTGGCTCGTCGTCTTCGATGTTGTCTTGGACTGCTGCGTGTACGGCTGCTGTTAATAGGACCTGTGTGTCCTCAGTTTGAACTTTAACGCACGGGATCTTTGGTTGTAGCCCACCTGACGGTATTCCGCCGGTGGGCGTCTCCCATTTCCCTGACTCTGATGTTTACTTGTCAACTTTGGTGTCGGCTTGTCTTTAATACTAGCACAAGCCTTCTCTATCTCCTTGACATCTTTGACCTTTTCCTTAAGGTCATCACCATAAAGCCATTCCTTTGATAACATTGTGTCCACCATCGGTTTGATGTTTTTGTTTAACTGAGGAGTAATGTACGACTTCCTCGCCACCGATTGTTGGTAAAACACATCTGTAAGGATCTGGCCCGCATGACTTATGTAATTAGTCAGAGCGTCCTCGTCAACACCTTCTTCTGGTTGATCTAATAACAGAGATACTGCAGCACCTAAAGCACATAATGCCGTGCCTACGCAATTTTGAGTTTCGGCAAAATGTTCATCTCTTTTCTTAGCTATGTCGCTAAGAAGAGGAATTATTTCCAAGTTTAATTTTGGTGCTTCAGTATAAAAATCACCTTTTCTCTTGTATGACTCTAAGATCTCTTTTTTATTCTTCTCTGGAAGACCTTCGATCTTCCATTTTCCCCACGTATCATTTACTTGTGGATGATACTTGATGTTCTTAAGATTACCTTCATTTGTATCCAAGCCTAGAATTTTTAAAGCATCATCTTTCACCACTTCTAACTGATCCGATGCTTTAGATTCAGACTCAGTTGGCTCCGTCACCGCTTTTTCCGGTATTTCAGTCATGACCTTCCCAGAGTCAGACTCGATGTTTTTGTCTTTCTCAGCATCTGAGAAATAATTAAAAAATAATTAAATCAGCAATTTTCTAGGGAAAAATGACACTTATTGAGTTCTTATGATATTTATGTTCTTATTGAACTTTATCACTAAATTAGCGATGGTCGTATGGACCTGGTACTGTCGTGTGGACAGACCCCTCAACCTTCGTATGGAAAGTTGAGGATATTTGGGCATTGTATAAATAATTAGTGTAATTTACCTGATGTAACAATAGGCGGACCTGAATCTACATGAGAATTAACTGCTGACCTTTGTTCTTGTTGAACATTTGCCAGCATTTCAACCACCTTTGTGAGGTTATCCACCTGAGCTTGTAATTTCTCCCATTTATCTTTTTTTTTACGTCTCGATTCTCTTGAACGAGATCGTGAGCGGGATCTAGAGCGTTTCTTGCCCATGTCGAGAATTAAATTTTTATTATAAATATAAATATTTATTTTATTTCAACAGTTGCGTATAAAAACGTGTTGATATCTCAGCACAACGAAACAATATGAGTAAAGAGGGCGCATGTCGAGACAAGATGGCAGAAAGCGCCAAAATATTTTGAATTTAAGCTTTGAACGTTGTGGATTGAAGCATGACAAGCATGACTACATGAAACTATCATCGAGAACGAGACACATAATATAATATCTAATTATTCATTATTATCGCTTCAAATAATCTTGTAGGTTTAATACCAAAATACGGCCGATTAAATGATGCATTTTATTCTGTGCATGTACCCTAAATATCACATCAACTGTTTCTTACCCTAGTAACAATTTGGTTCAAGTATTGGGCAAGTTTGGCTCAAGAATCGGGATATAGTATCTATGCAGATTTTTACAATTGCTCCAGATATTTGACCAAGACTCTTGGGCAAGACTGGGCTTCGAATTTGTCCAGAAAATGGCCAGAAATTTTGGGGCTCGCCACCACAACTTTTTGAGACTCAGTTATTGTAGAGGCAGAAGTTCTTATCCTTATTTCAGTACAACAAAAATGTGCATTAATAGTTTTTTTCGTTTCTCGCTCAAGTCTGAGTCAAACTTCTTTACCAACAATTTGAACAAATTCAAGTTCCAGACTTGTCACTGAACTTGACCAAGAATAGTCCAGATTCTGTTTTAAAATGGTTTCCAAGTCTGTAGCCAGTTAAGACGAATAATCTTGATTAACTGTTTGGCTCAAGAATTATTCGATTATGTTTCCAGGGCTTTGTCAACTATTTAGCCAAAGAATCTTATCCAAAACTAATGTGTTTAGAATAACCTTCATTTACCTGCATTGTTTAATTTTTATGGCAGATAACCAGCATTCTCAAACGAATACGCTGAGTAATAGATTTGTCGTTTTTGTTAACAACAATTTTCTAAAACAAATACACTATAAAAAAAAAATTGGGAGTGAATTCGGATTGAATCTCACTCCCATCAGTCAGAGCACCGGAGTGAAAAGCAAAACACTCGTGGCGTAGGAAGTAAATCGAAAGTTGTTCTAGTAGAGTAAATCTCAAGTTTTTTAAGAAGATTCATTGCGGAGTAAAAATAGATTTTCATCCGGAAAAAATCTAACTACGAAGTTCGTTAATTAAAATCAATTTCTATTTAGCTAAAAAAAATGTTATGTAGCAAATTTTTTTTCATCGATGTAAAATAAATTACAATTAAAATAAAGCGCCATTCGGCCACACCCGATATGGATAGGTAGATTTCTTGTTTGGATATTGAAAAAAACACGTTATTAAAAGGTAATAATGTTCTCAAATTTATTTTTTATTATTTTTTTGCCAGAGGGCAAAAAAAAATCTTTTCTCACCTCCGGGTGGAAAGCGTCAATTTTCTTCCCGCTGCGCTAAACGAAAATGCCGCTTTCCGCCTCCGTCAAGGAGAAAAATAGTAAACACACCACGGGCAGAAAATAAGAAAGCCTCAGATCACATGTTTATTGACCTCGGCTTCGCCTCGGACAACAATTACATGTGATCTGAGACATTTCTTATTTTACTGCCCTAGATGTGTAATATACTATAACAGATGATAAAACAGTTAGTAATTATACCATCATGTATGTATAGTTTCTGCTTGTTTATAGTTACTTCAATCCTATTTTATGAAAAATAATATATATGGCTACCGAAATCGCAGAAAGTCACCGAACTGACAGTCGAAAAAAATTAACTGTATTGAAACGGAATTATTTTGACACGCAATTTTCACAAGGGTTTTGGCAAACTCCCTAAGAAATAAAACAAAAAAAAATTAAATCGTGGAAATGATTTTTGACGAAGTTGTAGTGTTATCAAGCCCAGTGCTCCTGTGAATAACACGCTCGTATTCACTTAATTTATCAGAAAAACGAGTTTTTCCGGAGAAATCTTATTTAATTGATAAGAAAATTTTATTCACGTGTTCTGTAGTTATTATTATTTATCTCAATATGCTTTTTATACATAATTTTTTTCTTTTAATTTATGAAAATCACGTTTGAATCGAAATCACGATTTTTAGGCGAGAGTAGAGCATACCTGCGCGATTCGCGCTTAAGGCATGCAATAAATAAACAATTATATAACTATAAACGAAGTTAAGGATATAAACATACATATATAACTTTTCCTTGGAGGATTATCAAATACCTGCGATAAGATTAAAAATATCCCGGGAAAAAATGATCAGAACTGATCAGACCTGTCCATGCCTGTTCATGTCTGAAGTGTTAAATACGCTCAAACCTGATCAATCCTGTTCATGCCTGCTCATATCTGTTCATGCCTGTTCATGTCTGAAGCATTAAATACACTCAGACCTGATCAGATCTGATCAAGCCTGTCCATGCCTGTTCATGTCTGAACCGTTAAATACGCCCAGACCTGATCATACCTGTCCATGTCTGATCATGTCTGATCTAGCCTAATAGATAAGGATTTAAACTCCATATATCAGCTGACAAGAACTGTTCATGCATGATTCGTCCTCTTAAATGATATTTTAAGTCTGGAAGAAAAATTTTATCGAACTATAGATTGCAGGTCTATTTTTAAAATTAATTTGTTCCGTATGACGTATCAGTGTCTATCCCCTTATAAATTTTAAATGTACAACTTTCATCAAAAATTTTAGCTTAAGCATGAACTTTTTAATTTTCCATGCTAAAACGATGATTTTTAACGATGAATTTTGACGCAATGACATAAAATTATTTACTGTGTTCCATTGAATACGCGAAAAACAAGATTATTTCGTAAGAGTTTGAGTTTGATAGCGTGCAAATACCAAAATATATCAGTTGATATCGATAGGCGATAAGTCATTTCAAGGTGTCTGTTATTATCTTAAGCTACGCCTTGGTCCATTGCAGTAGTGTCAAAGGCTGCTAAATTGTAGAACACACAAATAATACTTCGTTTCCTATACGTTTTAAATAAAAAAAACTTCAATTTTAAAAGAAAACAATAAAATTATAATTACGGAATAAACCTTGAAGAATTTTTTTTTTTACTTTACATAGAACCATATGTTAATGGAGCGAAAAAAATGCATAGTCGCCCCAAATAAACCACTCTAATATATGTAACGGGCGGATCTATCCTCCCGTTCGTTTATTTATCGATCAATTATCGGATTATGAAATCGATGGGCCAACTTACCCACGATAACGCAATTAAATATCGAATTCATCGGACATCCGGTATCGAGTCAGCTCGGTTCGAATTCCTATTATAACGCGATTTTTACATCGGATCGAACTGGCACGTGAAACTGACAGGACACTTTTATTCATGATCAACCGTCAATTGCGAAATATCGAGGTATTGAACTTGGCGGAGTGATATAGTTTTCTGCTGACTAGGGAACAGAAAAACAGTTTCTTATCAAATTTGGCGTAGGAACTTGAGTTCTTTCGCGTATTAATCAAAGTTTTGGAGGGTAATTCGTTCACCTGACAACGCCCGCGATCGGTGATATATAAGCTTGATCACCCCGAAGATAGAGACTTCTTGTTTAACAGTCAGTCAGTCAGTCAGTTTGATAGTCTGTCAGAATCTATATCGAGTCCGAGTCATCAGTGCCGAGTATTAGTTGTCAAGTAAGACCTCTTTTGGCGTTGTCGCATCTCTCTCTCATTAATAGAATCAATAGTGATTGTTATCAGTGAAGTTATTGTGTCCAGTTAGAATCAAGTTAGTTAATAGAGATTTAGTGTGTAAAAGAGACTCTCAGGGCCATTAAAAGTAACTGCCATGCTTTGGGGACACCTAATAAACTATTAGTACCTAACTCGCAGTATTCTTCATAAACGACCCATTCCCTTCAATTATGATTAAGTAAAATTTCTACGAGATCCTGAGCTAGACGGATGTCTGATACGTGGATGTGACAGATCTAAGTGTAAGCTCACATGTAACACTGTGTATAATTAATTATGAATAATTAATAAATTAAGTATAGAACTCTGTTAACTATAAAGATAAGTCATGTATAAAATTGAAATCACTTAAAGTAGTTTGAAAGGTACACTAAAGTTAAGATAAGTCATTGGGTCAACAGGTAAAGTATCAGTCTGAAGAGCGCAACGTACAGGGTTCAAATTCCCGTCGGCACCAATCTTTTTTTTTTCTTTTATGGACCTGATCGAGTCAGACATGAATAGATCTGATCAGACATGAACATGCCTGGCCAGGTCTGATCAGACCCGGTCATTTTTCATATCTGATCAGACCTGAAGACTCATGCCTGTTCATATCTGATCAGATCTGATCATTTTTTCCCGGGATGTTAAAAGCCAAGATAATCACTTTCAACTGTAAACAGAAGTAATATTCATAAACAATGAAATAATAATTACCTTGGATTGTTGATTTAGATTAGATGTATCATTAGATGCTTCCTCAGAATCAGCATTTAGTATGACTGGCAATCTTTGTTCTTGTACTGAAGCCAAGCTGGACAATAAGAAAAAAAAATTACAGTTACATTAACTGAAACTTCGAACAGTTTTGAAAAACGATTATTTTTCACTACTTCATTTGTTTGATATGTTTTAGTATCCAATAGAAAACGGTTTTAGGTAGATTTTGATAGTATTTTGATAAACTGTTCGAAATATATCGAATATTCAGGAAACTCGCTCTTTTCGCGGATTTCTGTTTAGCACTTCTCCAAGAATCCTGAGTCGAAACTCAAGTTCCGATTTAGTCATAAAAGTTTTCAAATGCTTTGTAGTTCTATTTGCCGTTACTCTATTAGATTTACGAGTTTATAAGTTATTGTCAATAAAAGATTTTTTTTAATTTTACATTTGAGATTTCTTGAAATATACCGAACTGGATTAATTTGAACTCACATGAAATCTAATGGCAATAAAAATCTTACAAATGCTAAAAACCCCGTTTTGATCGGTCAAGTCATTC